CTTAACTGACTGAGCCACTCAGGTGTCTCTTTGGCTCTTGAGTGAGCCATCCATTGAGCTTTTTATTTTGGTTGTATTTTTCTCTTCCTTTCTTTTCTTTTTCCAGTTGCATTTTTCGATTATAGGGTTTCCATTTGGTTCTTCCTTACATCTTCTATTTCTGTGCTGAGACTTTATTTCTTTGCTATGGCTTTCTGTATTTTCATCTGCTTTAAGCATATTTATAATTACTTATTGAAGGATTTTTATCATGGCTGCTTTAAAATCTGTTTGATAATCAAAAAAACAAGGAAAACAAAACAAATCTTCATCAGATAATAATGGTTGTCTTACCTTGGTGTTGTCATCTGTTGCTGTCTTTTTTCTTTCAGTTTGATATCTACCTCATTTGGGGTATGATGAGTGATTTTTGATCAAAACTAGTTATTTGGGGATCCATGGGTGGCTCAGTCTGCCTTCAGCCCAGGGTGTAATTCTGGAGTCCTGGGATCAAGTCCCACATTGGGCTCCCTGCATGGAGCCTGCTTCTCCCTCTGCCTATGTCTCTACCTTTGTCTCTGTGTCTCAAATGAATAAATAAATAAAATATTAAAGAAAGAAAGAAAGAAAGAAAGAAAGAAAGAAAGAAAGAAAGAAAGAAAGAAAGAAAGAAACCAGTTATTTGCATATTATGTTGAGATTGTGGATCTTATTTAAGCTTTCTGTTTTACCCGGCTTTCTCTGACTCTTCCAGCAGGAAAGGAAAGGTTACTGCCTTGTTACTTCCAGGTGGAGGTAGAAGTCTAGGTTCTCAGGGCACCTGGGTGGCTCAGTGGTTGAGCGTCTGCCTTTGGCTTAGGTAATGATCCTAGGGTCTTGGGATTGAGTCCCACATCAGGCTTCCCATAGGGAGCCTGCTTCTCCCTCTGCCTATGTCTCTGCCTCTCTGTGTCTCTCATGAATAAATAAATAAAATCTTAAAAAAAAGTCTAGGTTCCCTACTTGGTCTCTGTTGGCACCTCAGGGTGGGGCACTTCTTTTTACTGCTGGGTGGGTGTGGGAGTTCCATCGTTTCCACTGACCCCATTGGATAAGAGGTTACTGGTTACCAGCTGTCAGGGATGAAAGTCCTAGTTCCCTACTTGGCCTTCTCTGACTCCACCCTGGCAGCATGTTGGGAGGCTTGTAATAGCCCTGCAAGGGTGGAAGTCTAAGCTCCCCACCTGGTGTTTGCTGGTATGGATGGGAGTGAGGCCCCAAGTTTTTTTCCCCCCTATGGGGTATGGCTAGAGTAGAGTGTTTATTGTCTAAAAATTTTTAATCTTCTAAGATGTTCCTTTCCTGGTCCTTTGTCTAGAGAACACAGATTTTTGTTGAGGTTTCTTTTTGGTCTATGCTTGCTAGCATTCCTGGACTGCCAATTTCCTCAGCTCCAGGTCTGAGATATATCAAAAAGAAAATCCAAGAAACTTACCACCATGTCATTCCTCAAGTTCAAAGTCCCCTAGCCAGTCTCTCTTTTTGTCCAAACTTTCAGAGTCATCTCATGTTTGTTTCAAAAATAATGTCTAGAGTTTTTGGCAGCTCTTCCTGCCCATGAGTCCTGTCCACCTTTAATAAAACTACCTTTTTCACACTGAAAAAAAAATCTAAGGATTTTGGTTGTACTTTAGCAGGAAGGATAGGGAAAAGTACTTCCTAGAAGTGAAGTATATTGATTTGACTAAGGGAATATTTGTTTTCAGTAACTGTGTCCATCAATCTTTTCCATCATGGTTTTTTCCTTCTCCATTATGTCTGAAGTCCTTTCCTGCTCCTAGACAAAACAATTCCTATCCATACTCTTCTCTCGAATTCCTCTTTTTGGGGGGTGACTACTTTATACCTATCCTTTCTTCTCAAATCCCTACCCTCTCAGCAGATAACTTGGCTTTCTATTTCACTGAGAAAACTGAAACCACCAGAGGAAGACTTCACCAGATGCCCTTCACCACCTCCACCCACCCCTCTGGCACCTGTTATTCCACCCACGGCTACCTAGCTTGTTTCCACCAAGGATGGCCCATACTTCTGCTAGATCCCACCTCTTCTTTATGTCCTGTAGACCCATCTGTAGACCTCACTTCAGTAGTTCTTCTTTCTTTCTCCCTTCAATATATATTTTTACTCTCCGCTGGATTGTTCTCATCAGCAGTAAAAGCATAAATATGCTGTGTTTTCATTTTAAGAATACAACTCTCTATTTTATTTGCCACATCAATTTCTTTGCTTCGTGTCTTTCTTCCCCCTTAGGTCAAAACTCTTTGAAAACATTTTGTTTGTGTATGTGTGTGTGTGCATGCACGTGTGTGTGTTTTGTACTCCTTGTCTATAGCTCCTCCTCTCTAATTGTTAAACCCACTTGAGTCTGACTTATGCCTCACATATCCAACAAAAGTATTTTTGTCAAGGACGCCAATGAGCTTTATACTAGTCTAATGTTCAGTTCTTAGTCCTCATCTTTCTTGATCCATTGGTAGAATTTAACTCAGCTAATCCCCTCCTCTTACTTGAAGAGCTATTTTCATTTGGGTTCTCTCCCGATTTTCCTCCAACCTACTTGGCTGGTCCTTTTTGGTCTCCTTTGTTGATTCATCATCATCTTGATCTTTTAACATTCATGCTCTATAGGGCTCCTTTCTACTACATGCATTTCCTTGATGATTTCTTTTTTAGCTTGTGATTTTATTTTATTTTTTTTGGTCTCGTGATTTTTAGATACCATATATATGCTAATGATTCTCCAGTTTATATCTCTAACTCAGGCTTTTCCTGAATCCAGATGAGTTTATCCAACATTTCCATTTGGATGCTAACAGGCACCTCAGAGTTACCATGTGCGAAAATGAACTCCTTGTCTTCTCCAATAATTGTTCACCTACAACCTTCTGCAGCTCAGTTGGCGGCAACACCTTCCTTCTAGTTGTTCAGGTCTAAAGCCCAGGAGTCATCCTAGATTCCTCTCTTTCTCTCACTGTACATATCCCATCTGTTAAACAGTTAAGCTTGCTTTATTTTTTTATTTTTTTTGTTTTTTTGTTTTTTTATTTATTTATGATAGTCACAGAGAGAGAGAGAGAGAGGCAGAGACACAGGCAGAGGGAGAAGCAGGCTCCATGCACCGGAAGCCCGATGTGGGATTCGATCCCGGGCCTCCAGGATCGCGCCCTGGGCCAAAGGCAGGCGCCAAACCGCTGCGCCACCCAGGGATCCCTGTTTTTTTTTTTAAGATTTTATTTATTTATTCATGAGAGGCACACACACAGAGAGAGAGAGAGAGGCAGAGACACAGGCAGAGGGGGAAGCAGGCTCCATGCAGGGAGCCCGATGTGGGACTCGATCCCGGGTCTCCAGGATCACGCCCTGGGCTGAAGGCAGGCACTAAACCGCTGAGCCACCCGGGCTGCCCCAAAGCTTGCTTTAAATATATCCCAAGTCTACCACTTCTCATCCCTCCATTTCTAGCTACATTGCTCCAGGTCACCTTCATTATGTAACAGAAGATTCTGATAATATATCAATTCCATACCAATCCTCTTTGGCCCCTCATGTCACTGTGAGTCAGCTCTAGTTCTCTGGTCTTGTGGGTCTCCTTGCTATTCCTCAGATATGTGAAGGTTTATGTGTGCCTAGATCATTTGGGGAAGACATATATATATATATATATATTTATTTTAAATAAATAAGATTTTATTTATTTATTCATGAAAGACATAGAGAGGCAGAGGGAGAAGCAAGTCCTCTGCAGGGAGCCTGATGTGGGACTCGATCCCAGAACTCTGGGATCACGCCCTGAGGCAAAGGCAGACACTCAACTGCTGAGCCACCCAGGTGTCCCCTGGAAGTTATATTTTAAAAAGCCATTCATTGCTATTTGAGTGACACTATCTGAAATTTATTATTTTTAGAAAAATTGATGTTTTTCCAATGAAAAGCTTTCATAACCAATATTATGACTTTTTATTCATTTCTTTTTTTTAATGTCCCTTGGAGGTGCTTTAGAGTGTTATTTATGCAAATCCTGTTACTGGTTGATGCACATATGTTTTATTGCTATTTTGAATGGGATTCTTTTCCATTATCTTCAAATTGTTATTGCTGGTACGAAAGAACATTATTGGACTTATATGTTTATTTTGTAAATGTTTCTCCTTGGTATTGCTAAAGCTTAACTCTCCAGCTTGCTGTGGATCTTGCATGGGGTTCTTTCTCTTGGGGTTCCTTCTCTCAGATCTTTTCTGGGATTATCCCTGCCTGCCTTACTCAAGCTCTTAATCTCTTAGGCCCTGAATCCCTGAAGCCAGAATGGGGGCCTCTCCATCACTCTCCCCTGGCTCTGTACAAGACCTCTATCCCAGCACTTAGAGCTCAGAATAGCCATTTCCTTATCACCTTTCCTTAACCAAACTTCATGATCAGTTAGAGCTTGGAATGGATTTGGTGCTCAATAGATATTTGTTGAAGGAATAAGTGAATGACTGAAGTATTTGTCTCCCCCTTTCTAGACCTTCCAACTAGCTTTATTGGGAATGCTCTTGTATTTGAGAAAGTTCCTCCACTTATTTTCCAACTCCTCTGTTGACTTTTTTCTTGTCAATGTGTGCATACTTTGTGATATTTTCTTTTTTTTAGATTTTATTTATTTATTCATGAGAGACACACAGAGAGAGACAGAGACATGGGAAGACATGCAGAGAGCCCAATGTGGGACTTGATCCTGGGACTCCAGGCTAAAGGCAGACGCTCAACTGCTGAGCCACCCAGGTGTCCCACTTTATGATATTTTCACGTAACCTTATTTCCTAGTGATATCCACCAATATTCTACGTTCCAAATAACTATCAGTTTGATAGTGAAGTCTTTCATTGGTCTAATGCCTCATCACCATTTCCACACTCACCTTGTAATCTTCTATAACCTGCTGAGTCTGTTGACTTTGATGTTGCTGCTGCTGACTTGATGACTTTTTCCCTCCTTCTCAGATTCAGGCTTCTTCAGGAGAAACCAAGTACACTGGGGCCTTGGATTGCGCAAAGAAGCTATACCAGGAATCTGGGATCCGAGGCATCTACAAAGGGACAGTGCTCACCCTCATGCGAGGTAACCTTTTATGTTTTCCACCTGAGGTCACCTTGGGGGGGCTCATCTGAGTTAAATCTGCCACAGAGGGATCCCTGGATGAGTTTTGGCACTGTACAAGCCATACCTCTGACAAGGCTGGCATGATGTGTCCTGGTTTTAGACAGTCTCACCCCTGGCCAGCATGGACACAAATGAGGATAGGAAGACTCTGTCTTCCTGACAGGCTGGCCCTCAAGGATGTAAGTCAAGACAGTGGCAGATACAGGGGAGTGGCAAATAGATAGAAATCATGGCTGGAGGGATGAGTGGGAGGAAAGAATGCCTAAGGACACTGGAGCTTTCCCTGGTTTCAAGAGGCATGTTCTGTTGGGGTCGCAGTAGGAGAGACAGCCATGGCCTTACCCCTGTCCTGACATGGCATAGAAGCTTGGAGGAAGGCCAGAGACTAGCTGTAGTTTGTAACTTGGAGAGGGTGTGTCTGTGGGGACCACTCGGGGGATTTTGAAGGTGAAATGATGTCATGTGTGTTTGTGCCCACTCACACCAGTGCTTGTCCCCAAACAGCATCTAATTACTGCAAAATGATGACTGCAAACAGGAGGTGCTACTGAGGAACTTCCCCGAAAACTTTCAAAGAGCCGGCACTAAGCTTGGCTCTTCTAAGTTTTAGAAATCTGTGAGGATTTTATATCATTTACTTTGCTTCTTTCTGGCCCCTAACAGATGTTCCAGCCAGTGGGATGTATTTCATGACATATGAGTGGCTGAAAAATATCCTCACTCCAGAGGGAAAGAGGTGAGGAGAAGAAAACTTAGAGGCCACTTTGTTCAGTCATGGGTTGGTTGGCCTTTCCTGTGAATGGGTCTGAAGGCAAAGTGGGTCTGGCTCCGCATCTACTTTCTTCTCCTTGCTGCTGAGACCCAGCTAACACTGCTGACTCTATACCTCATCTGCTGGAGCAAGTATGTGAAACAAGTTCATGAAACCACCTTCAAGGAGTGGCAGCTGGCATGTCACAGGAGCCCTGGCCTTGGACCTCCTCCCTTCTCTCTGTAACTGCCCCACCTGCCATGGGAGGGATGGTCTGAATGCTGTGCTCACAGTCTTTGTCTGACTGGGACTGCGGTTGGTGTTCTGCAGTGTCAGTGAGCTCAGTGTGCCTCGGATCCTGGTGGCTGGGGGCATCGCAGGGATCTTCAACTGGGCTGTGGCAATCCCCCCGGACGTGCTCAAGTCCCGCTTCCAGACTGGTTAGTGGAGGGTAGTGGGGCAGATGAGGGTGGAGTGGGTCCCAGAACTGGCTGCCCCTGGGGTGCAGAGCTCTTAGGGCCCTAGAGATATTCACTCTCCACAGCAGCACCCAGCATCGGTCTGACCAACTTTTTCCCTTGCAGTCATTTCTTTCCTGGAACCCTAGACTTATTTCCCATTGGCCAAAACACAAAATAAGTGAGATAAGCAGTCAAATGAACTCTGCTGCCTTCACATGACCAGAAGGACTGTTTCATTCTTCATTCTTTTTCATTCGCTCAGCATCAGTCCAGACACTGAGTCTGTTTGTCCCAAGGTGAACTGTGTTGTCTGTGGACTGGTCCCAGATGACCTAGAGGGTGTCCTCTTCCTGATGCTGTGACCCTGCAGGAAGACTTGACTACAAAATTGTCCCCATGCGGGTCACCACAGGCAGGTCAGGAAACTTCCTAAAGCCTTAATAGTTGGATTCCACCCACAGCACCTCCTGGAAAATATCCTAATGGTTTCAGAGATGTACTGAGAGAACTGATCCGGGATGAAGGAGTCACATCCTTGTATAAGGGGTTCAATGCAGTGATGATCCGAGCCTTTCCAGCCAATGCGGTGAGTGGAAGACAAGGGCTGTGCTTTACCTTCAGAGCTTAGAGCAGGGCGCAAGGTCTAGGTGGGCTGACTTTTGCTTGTTCCTAGGATTGGATCACTTTTCCCCAAATTCCACCCTCAACCAGAGCTTCCTTATTTGCTTCTTTTCCTGAAGCTTTAGGAGGGGTTGTCTTTGGGATTCTTTGAGGGGAGGGGCTTTGATTTCATGACTTGGTCATCAGAAGTAGACAGTTGTGAGACATGGATTTTCTTCCCCTCTTAGGAATAAAAAATCACAGCTTGATTCCCTGATCTGGGGTGGGAATGAAGTTGGGGAACAGTTCTGATCAGAACTAAAGTTAGGGAAGGGTTCTGGTCCTGACAGGGTCAGCCAAGCATGATGGTAGGATCTCTGTGATAGTCACAATTCCTGTTAGCTTTTCTCTTCCTTCTAACTCCTTTTAGGCCTGTTTCCTTGGCTTTGAAGTTGCCATGAAGTTCCTTAATTGGGCCACCCCCAACTTGTGAAGCTAAAGGCTGTTTGAGGTTTCTGGATAACGGAAGCTATTACGGAAGAGGAGCAATCGGCAGGACTAGGCAGTCCTGAAAGGCAAAGGAAGGGGAATGGTGGGATCAGAGCTCTGTACATGAACTTGTTGAGACCATTGCCTTAATGACACCCTCTACATGGATAACTTGGTGTGCCATTTTGAAACTTGAATTTACTCATGTCAATTTACAGGATCTCAAGAGGATTTGGAGGTGGAATAAGTAGCTTCTAGACCAGATTCCAGCTGTGGTCAGAGAGCTGTCTACTGGTTGACTAAAGGCCCTACTGTACCCAAAATATTACTCCAGAAAGAGGAAATCTTGGCTTCTCACTGGAGACACTATGCATGTTTTCAACCAGCTGACCAAGAGCTGATGTTTCCTTTGATCCCTACTCAGGAACTTCACCCACCTGATTTCCAGAGTGTCACTTAATCCTGGTCTGCACATGGGGATGTGGAGCTGAGGCCCACATCTCTCTGTCCAAGTGTACTGAGCAAATATGCCTAGGGCATATAGCCCCTGTTAACAGTCAGTTTTTTTTTTAATGCATGCAAGAAATAAAAACTAAAACTATAGTAACCTAATTTGCCAGGAGTAGATGAAGAGCTTTCCCTCCTACACAGTGAGGAGGATTTTGAATCAACACTCCTCGCCTGCTGAGATAAGTGACAGGGGTGTAGGAAAAGCTCTTTTTACACATTCTTTTCTCATGAGAGTGCCCTATTTTAACAGGAAACAATAAATATTGTTTCTAATTTTTGCATTGTGTGAAATTATTTTGATTCTGGGTCATTTCAGCAGGTAGCCTGTGGCCTTGGTGGAGGCTGTTAGGGATCCATAATCCCTCCTTGATGGCTTCAGGCAGGGGCTTCGGCCCAAGAAAGAGGAGGAAGTTTTGGTTAGCCAGCCTTACCTGACTGTCCTAACAGCAGCTGCTTGATAGAGAAGGTAAGGGGGAGCGGGTGACTACTTGATTGCTAACTGTTCTGATAGCCCTCAGTACAAGTCTGCAGCCTTTTCCCTTCATTCTTTCACCTCTTTGCCCTGAGCTAATGCCATAGAAACATCCACAATATATTTTCTAACACAAGCAAGATAGTTGATTGTTCTAAGCCAAAAGCAATCTTGACTTTTCTTTTTTTTTTTCAAAGATCTTATTTATTTATTCATGGACACACACACACACACACACACACACACAGAGAGAGAGAGAGAGAGAGAGAGAGGCAGAGACACAGGCAGAGGGAGAAGCAGACTCCATGCAGGAAGCCCAACGTGGGACTCGATTCCGGGATTCTGGGATCAAGCCCTGAGCTGAAGGCAGACACTCAACTGCTGAGCCACCCAGGCGTCCCAATCTTGACATTTCATATGGGTTTTGGGGTCAGGTGATCTGATGTCACCAGCAGGGCTTTGCTAATAATTAGGCTATCAATGATGCCCAGGTGCATCCAGGGGAGGTAAGGGAGACAAGTTAATTTGTCCTTATCTGGTAGGTGGTGAGGCTCCTGAAGCCGGGCTTCTCTGGCATTGTCCCAACTGGCAGTCACAGTTACTTTTGCTGGTGCTTCTCACATTGCTGCAGCTGTGCAGAGACACTTGGACTTTGGCTTTAGAGCCACATTTTGTATAAAGGGGTGAGGGGAGAGGGACCCACTCCCATGTGGATGTGGGTGTGGCCAGTCTGACAGGAAGCTGAAGATTTGAGGGTTTAAGGAAGGATACTTTATTCCTGGGAAGATATTTTTGGATGAGCAGATAGGAATTATGATAAAAAAAAAAAACATTGTTTAGAGATGAAAATTTTGTGCCCTCTGTAAGGAAGATTAATTCAGTGTTATGCCTGCCCCCTCATGCTGAGGATTTTAATCTCACTGGTTTGGAGAAGGCCACATGCATGTTTCTTGAAGCTCCCTGTGCACCCTGTCTCTGAGACAGTCCTGCAACCTCAGCCTTTGCCTGGAAGCCCCTGTGAAGTGCATTTGCATTCCAGCCAAATGACAGCCATTCCCATGGCTCAGGATGACTTTCACAGTCCATGCTTCTGGATAATTTGTCCTTTGAAACAGCTTCCATTTTAAAATGGAATGTTTGGGTTCCTTGGTGTTAGTGGTAGTAGATATTTCTACTCCTTTGGTTGTTCAATAGTTGTTAAATAAAATAGGGAAGCCCTGGAAGACATATCTGTGAAGGGAGCAGAGCAGATGGTGAGGAACTCCCTCCTGGCTGGCACTTCCTTTTTATGATGCACTTTGAAATGCCACCTGTTCCTGATAGATCTCTTTTTCTCCCTGGTGGGGGTAAGGGTGTAGGGAAAGACCAGGGCCCTCCTCAGCAACTTCTCTGTCACGGACAGCATTAAGCAGAAGCCAGACAGCAAGTGTTAAAACAACCAGCCAGTGATAAGGCCTCACCCAGGCACAAAGGAGAGTATAACTGGGTCAAAGGTGAGGGACAAACAGTGGGATATTGCAACAAGCCTATTAGAAGCTTCAGTGCCATTTCTGCTAAAAGGTTGTAACATCTCCACCCACAGTTCTTTCCCCACAGTTCTTTTTTTTTTTTTAAGATTTTATTTATTTATTCATGAGAGACACACATACACACAGAGACACAGAAACATAGGCAAAGGGAGAAGCAGGCTCCATGCAGGGAACGCAATGTGGGACTTGATCCCGGGACTCCAGGATCACATCCTGGGCCGAAGGGAGGCGCTAAACCGCTGAGCCACCCAGGGATCCCCTCCCTACAGTTCTTTTGAGGCTGGAATCCCCTATGGCTTTTCTAACCTTTCCATGGGTTCTGTCTTATTTCTTTATTCCCATAAAACTCAATATATAATGGGCAGGGGTTTTCACCCCCCACTTTCAGATGTGATAGCCAACTCTCAGACAGGGTAAGCTGAACTGCCAAGATCACTGACAGATTGATAATAGTGTGCAGAAAATAGAGTGATATCTGGGTGTCCATAGGCCTGAAGAAAGATTCATGATGCTATCAGGCTGTCCTGGGGCTGCTTGACCCAAGCTCCAGGAGGCCTGTATATACTACAGGGTCAAAGCCCAGCAACTGGCCTGACTCACAGGTACCACACAGAGTCCCAACAAGCTCTGGGAGAGCTCCAGGGTCAGGTATTCCCTCATCACTCTCTTCTGCTTTCTCTGCTCTGGTGAGCATATAAGCCTGTGGCTCTCCAGCCAGGCTCTCCCTTGCTTCCCAGGTTCTGTCCTTGCCTTGAGGGGTCTCCCAGGCAGACCCAAGGTCCACTGAAGAATCAGACACTTTCTTGGGACACAGTGTTCTGGGAGGGGTGGTTCACAGGTGCAGAAACAGGTGGTCTGGGAATTAACTGCTCCCTGGGTCATAGATGCTTGTTAAAATAGAGCAGTCTGAGGGAAGCTGAAGGACAGCTCTATAATAGAGGCTGAAGGACAGCTTGGGTGATGACAGAGAAAACATAGCCTACTTCCCCAAGCCTTCCTGTCCAAGAGGCTCATAAACACTTCTAAGGCAAAACGGAAACTGATAATGGTAGATACTAAATGAGCTGGGAAGACTGGACCAGAGGGGCCGGCACGTGGGGTGGTCAGATGACTAACAGGTTCCAGGAGAAGGTAGGCGATTGGAGTGGCTTAGAGATACCCTTTGGGCAGAGGAGAGAGGTATTGCTGCTGGGGCTAAGTCCACTCCCCCACCCCCAGTAAGCAGAGGGTATCAGAGGGCAGAAGGTGTGTATAAACTGGGAGATCTGGGCCAAGAACAGGCTGCCAGAGGAGTCTGGGGGAATTTGAGTGGTTCCTTTCTTCCTGGAAAGAGAAAAAAAAAACCCTTTAAAATAGTAAACCTATTGAGTACATGAAATCTACTGTTTCATTGGAAATAGTAGTTGGTACCCTACCCATGTGCATTTTCACCAGACCCACTGCTGTTGGGCTAAACATGTGCCCCACCTGTGTGACTGTGATCCGTAGTTGTAAACATCTCTGAGAATTGGCCCCATTGTGTTTATGTCTGCCTGTGGTTGGTGATGTGGCAGTCTGTACAAGATTTGACTGCCTGCTGGGTAGTGACTCCTAGGGCTGGCTTGGAGTTGAGCACCTGTCAGTGCTCTGGGACCTCCTCTTCTCTGCCACAGTCTATATTTCTCTGACTTTTCAGGGTCTCTGCTTTTGGCTTTTTCACCCACCATCACTGTTGGCAGCTATTTCCTGGTTACCTGCTGCCTGTGGGTGTGGTTGCCATGGTAACCTCCAGTGGTATAGTTGGACAGGCTTGAATGAAGGCAGTCGGGAGGGTAAGGGTAGAAGAGGCAGGATTCAGGGCCCTGGTATTCTCTTTTGCTCTAAGGCACTCTTCTTTGGCCAGCTCAACTGGGCATTCATGAAGGCCCTTCGGACTCCACTTGCAACAGAAGGGCATCCCAGAAGGGGCAGAGATGGATCCTTACTCTTGGACCAGATGCTAGGGAAGGGAGCCACATAGGGCCTGGACAATTTTATTTTAGGCTGGTCTGTGGAAACAGGTAAGGAATAGCTATGGGGTTCGTGATTTCTGTGGCTCTCATTCCCTCCATGTCCAAAGATGCCCTTTGAATGTCATGTTTGGTCGATGGATGGATGGCCAAGCTATCAAGCAATTGATAGCAAACCAGCCTACTCCTGGCAGAGGCTGATGGAGGTTCCTTAGAGTGACTGGGGGAACCTAGGAGAACCTACCCACACCCAGCTCTGTCATCAGCCCTGGAGTAGAGAGAGAGAGAGAGAGAGGCAGAGGGAGAGGCAGTCTCCATGCAGGGAGCCTGACGTGGGACTCGATCCTGGGTCTCCAGGATCACACCCTGGGCCGAAGGCAGCGCCAAACCGCTGAGCCACCGGGGCTGCCCTATCTTTTTTTTTTTTTTTTTAAGATTTTATTTATTCACCCATGGAGAGACACACAGAGAGAGAGAGAGGCAGAGACACAGGCAGAGAGAGGGAGAATCAGGCTCCACGCAGGGAGCCCAATATGGGACTCGATCCCGGGTCTCCAGGATCACACCCTGGGCTGCATGCGGCGCTAAACTGCTGAGCCACTGGGGCTTCCCATCTTCCTCTATCTTATTTTGTGATTGAGGTCAGAGTCCTAACTGTACAGGCACCTGTCCCCCTTTAAAACATATAAAATCTGAAGAATGAGCAAACTAGGGAGTGGAGTTGTGAATTTGCCTTTCCAAAGGGTCGGTTTGTAGGATTATTTGAAGCAGGTATGGTGGTGCAGAGGGAGTGACATGCAGGTTTTCTGAGTATGGGCTGACTCCTGGAACACTTGGAAGGGTCAATCTACTGAAGAGCAGAGGAGAGTTGATGAACCCTGCCCCGTTAGCCTCTTACTGCCCATCTTAGTGAAGTGTTCATAGGCTGAGATAAAAAAATGCAGCTTTATTTTTTTAAAGTTTTATTTATTCGGGGATCCCTGGGTGGCTCAGAAGAGAGGCAGAGACACAGGCAGAGGGAGAAGCAAGCTCCCTGTGGGGAGCCCAATGTGGGACTCAATCCCAGGACCTCAGGATCATGACCTGAGCCAAAGGCAGATGCTTAACCACTGAGCCATCCAGGTGTCCAGAAACACAGCTTTAAAGAAAAGGACTCAATCCTGAGACAGGGGTCAGGAGAGCAGTTTCACTGACTCTGCTTCCTGTGTGGAAGCATTCATTTATTCATTCAGTAAACCTTCCCCAAGAATGTATAGTAAGGACCCAGCAGGAATCAAGGGACACTGTCCTTCCTCTCACAAAGTAAATTGTGCATGACTCCTCCCAGAGGTCAAGGCACTTGTCCACGGAGACACTGCTGTTTGAAATCACAGTGTCTGGCCTAGAGCATGGATGGTTTCTGTACCAGTGGGGTTTGGTTGCTCCTGTTTCCAGAAACTAAGCTCCCAGCAGCACTGAACTCCTGGGTGTGTGCCAAACCAGTATGAGAGGTCTTAGTGCTGATTTTAATTAATAGTGGGTAATTACCAGGTGGAACTTAACCGTCCCAAATGCCTTGGAGGTTCCCGAGCCTACAGCTCGCCACTTCTGTCTGGGCCCAGCAAGGAGAGGTCGGGTTCTGTCCTATGCCCACTGGGCCTTTCACCAGCACTCTGACTCAGGACAATCACCTTTTTCTATTCCCTTCTAATCTGGTCTAGGTGAAGGGAACAACTTGGGAAATGGTCTAGCCTCTCCAGTTCACCTATGCCCACTCCCTAGGGGTAAAGGATAACAGTGCCTTGTGGTCTTGCTCACCTCCATCAAACAGTGGGCCCAGGGTGGAGTGTGGGAAGAGAAGAGATGTGCAGAATCCTGGTGGGAGTGCTCAAAAGCAGGAACAGACTCACAGGTGGTTTCTGCTCTGGGCCTTATACCAGTTTCTCAGGGTACATGTTTGGCCCAGTGACTCTTCCAGGCTTCTTTCTCTGCCTGTGGCTCCCATATTGCTACATCATTGAAACTCCTACTATCTACCAGGCCTAACCCGTTTGACATATCACAGGCCCCCTGCCAGACTTCTGAGGGTCCTATTCTGCCACCATTCCACCCCGTGACCCTCTCTGCTCTTGCTGTCCTCTATGGTCAGATGGCTTTCCTCAAGATTTTCCTGTAGTAGCGTCCTGTCCAGGCCTCGGAGTCAGCCTGAATCTCACCCCCTTAAGTGGGCCCTCTCGCTCTCCACCGCAGCCAGAACCGCCCTGAGGTTGCAATGTGTGTGCCAGGCGTCTGGCTATCTGGCTCTAGGCTGTGTCCCTGGAGCCTACCCAGTGCTGGCAAACAGGTGGCTCTTAGCGCGTATTGAAATCGAAACAAGTGAAAGGGTTTTGGGACTAGGTGGGAAGCTCTGACGACTCCCTTTAGCAGGGAAAGCACTCACTCCACGACTGGACCGGGGACTGCACAGGGCCTGCGGGCGGCCCGGTGGCGCACGCGCACTGGGGGCCGGCGGTCGGCGGGAGCGCGCACGCCCGCGGTCGCGTGCGTCACAACCCGGGCTCCTGCCCCGCCCGTCCCGCCTGCCCGCTGGTCGGTCTCCGCGGCGGCGGCGGCGGCGGCGGCGGCGGCGGCGGCGGCGGCGGCGGCGGCTGCCCAGTGACAGCGGCGGCGGCACCAGGCCGGCCGTAGTAGCTTAGGGTCGTGCGGCCCGGAAACGCACACCCGGCGGAAGGGCGGCGCGGCACGAGGAAGGCCAGAGCCGGGTCGCGCGGGAGGAGACCTCGCGGGCGCCGCGCGAAAGGCCGGCGTGAGGGAGCGCGGAGGCAGTGGCCGCCGGCGGCCGGGACCCGCCTGTCCTCGCGGCTGTCGCCGGCATGAGCCACATCCAGATCCCGCCGGGGCTCACGGAGCTGCTGCAGGGCTACACGGTTGAGGTGCTGCGGCAGCAGCCGCCCGACCTGGTCGACTTCGCGGTGGACTACTTCACCCGCCTGCGCGAGGCCCGCCTGCAAGCCTCCAGCCCGCCCGCCGCCCCTCCTTCCGGCTCCCAGGGGCTGGAGCCCAGCCCTGGCCTGGTCGCCGACGCCAAGGCGGACAGCGAGTCGGAGGACGACGAGGACCTGGATGGTAGGCGGCGGGCTGGGTCGACGTTCGCGGTGGGGGGGCGGAGGGGGGGCGGGGCAGGGGTCTCCAGGGGTCTGGAGGGGCTGCGGGGGCCGACCACACGGGGCCGGGACCTTGGAGCTCTCTGGCGGAGTTTGTCGGGGTTCCCCGAGCCGCAGGCGTGAGCCCCGCGTGCGCCGCTTCCCAGCTGAGCTAGGCGGTGCTCCGAGCCCTGGAGCGCACCGAGGGAGTTGTCAGATTGAGCCTGGGAGAAAACGTGCGCGCCTTCGGCCCGCGTGGTGGCGCGGAGCCCACGTCGGCCTCGCTTCTGCTGGGGACCCTTCGCTCGGTTCGGTTCCGAAGACAAGGACGCTCACATCCACCGACTCGTCCTTAATAACCGGGACGGTAACTTTGTTTGGGAATCGTTCATTTCGTGGAAAGTTGTGGCGAAAACTTTAAGCATAGGCAAAAGTAGAGAGAGAGAGAGAGAGAGAGAGAGAGAGAGAGAAGGTGAACTGAACCCCTCCCTGTGCCATCATCCACATTCAACAGTTTATCCGGCACAAACGTTTCATCTCTCCTTTTTTTCCTTTGCCTTGCTGAAGTGTTTTAAAGCAGATCCCAATCAGTCATTTCACCTCTGCATAACTGGATTTCTTAAAATATTCTTAGTATTTCTTAGAATTTCTTAAAATATGTATATTTCAGCTTCGCTAAAACGATTGGATCAAATTTGGTGAGGGTAAACAGTAACTTGTTTGACCCGTAGTTTATCCTGTTCAGGGTGCAGGGAGAAAGACAAGTTAACACTTTCTACACCAGATTTAAGCAAGGTTGTCAAAAACCAATTCCATTTTCCTTGGTTGCTTCAACATAGGCTTTGTCAATTTAACAATAGAATTATCCTACATTTGAACCTCCGAAATTTAACGAAGAAAACAGAGACGTAGTTAGAGGCTTACTGTTATTAGAGTATGCTGGAAAAAAAAAAAAACCAGAGTAGTTCTGAGTTGAATCCACATTCAGGTCACACCAGCAAGGAGTTAATTATTGGTCATTGCTGTTGGAATTTGTAAGCTTCAGTGTTGTGGACACCTTCCCATAGTTTATTTACTATTAAGAGTAGAATTGGTTCTTCAGTGTTTCTTTGACTTTTTACACGTTAAATTACGAGATTTCACCTTAAGCCTAGAACCAAATCGTTATTTCCCAAATCTCTTCCACAGATTTAATTTCCGGCCTAAGCCAATTGATTAAACCTATTTGATTTCAGATACACTTATCTTTAAAATGGGGACAGTGACAATGATCTCCCAGGGATAAATGCCTTTAAAAGTTTTATTTCGGGAGGGACTCCTACATTCGTTTCACTGTCATAGCTATAAATCGCAAAGCTGTAACCTGCTTTGTAAAATTTTTATGTACACAGATTAGTATTTTAGAAATTAGTTCCAGATGAGTAAAATGGAGTTTACAGGTTTTGTGTTGTGTCCGCGTTCTTTGTCTTTAGTATCTTTTTCAAAATTGAGTTGATTTAAATCTTTGTAACCCTGTGCTTTATTTTATTGGCATGTAAATATTTGTTGTTTATATCTCTAATGTGGCTGTGCTACGTATAATTTTAGAAATCAACACAAGGTGAACTTCTATTTACAGATAATAGACTAAAAATACATTGCACACAGTGAGATACCACTTCACACCCATGAGGATGCCTATTAACGAGAAACAAATTGCAAGTGTTGGTGAGAATGTAGAGAACTGGGAGCCTTTGTTCATTGCTGGTGGGAATGTAAAATGGTCTAGCTGCTGTGGAAAAACAGTTTGGTGGTTCCTCAAAAAGTTAAACATAGAATTACCATATGATCAAGCAATTTCACTGCTATGTGTATATCCCAAAGAATTGAAAGCAGAGAGTCAAACATAGAGTTACATGCAGGTGTTCATTGCAGCATTATTCATAATAGCCAAAAGGTAGAAACAACCCGTATCCCACTAGCAGATAATGGTTAAATTGTGGCATATACATTCTATGAAATAATTCATCCTTTAAAAGAAATGAAATTTTAATACATGTTACAACATGGATGAGCCACAAACACATTATGCTAGTGCAATATGCCAGACACCAAAACACAAATATTCTCTGATTCTGCTTATATGAGGTATCCAGAATAGGTAAATTCATAGAGATGGAAAGTAGGATAGAGGTTAACTGGAGTTGGTGATGAGATGTTACTGTTTAATGGGTATAGAGTTTCTGTTTGGGATGATAAAAAAGTTCTGAAATTGAATAGGAGTGATGGTTGCACAACACTGTGGATGTACTTAATGCCATGAGTTGTACACTTAAATGGTTAAAGTGGCAGGTTTTTTGTTAAGTATATTTTATCACAATTTTTAAAAAGACCAGAGAAGAAATACATTACATATCCAGTGATTAGGAACATTAAGGTAATAAGCCCACAGTACCTAAAATAAGAACTAACATATGTAGAGCTGGATCTGTGTATAGCAAAGGAGATTTTCTTTAGTATGGCTAACCATCGGTTCAGTTTATAAAGTTGTATGCTATTTGAAACACAAAAAAGTTATTAGCTGTCAGTGGTTTGTCCCAGTAACAGTGTTTTGATGTCAGACAGCACACCAACTATGAAATATTGTAATGAGTATTTAACTCTTGGGAAAGCCTGAAGACTTCAGACTTATTAATAAGTTACTATAACGGCATCCTCATGAGAACAATAAATTGACATCCAGACTGATTTACTCTGTACTTAACCATAAAACACTTACACTTGTGGGTCTCCCGGTGTGTATATTTACTTGGTTTTATATATATATATATATATGCACCCACCCATATGTATATATATATTCAAGTACTATGTTACTCACCCATTTAGAGTATATAATTCAGTGGTTTTATTCACAAATATGTGCAGCCATCACCACAGTTTTAGAACAATCAATTTTCATCACTCCAAAAAGACCTCATACACTAGCCATCAATGCCAACACCTCCACTCCCCTCTAATGTGTTTTCTGTCTATGGATTTGCCTATTGTGGACATTTCATATAAACAGAATCATAGAGTATATGGTCTTTTGCTCCTGGCTTCTTTTGGTTAGCATGTTTTCAAAGTTCATCAATATTATAGCATATATTAATATGTTTCTTCTTTTTATTGCTGAATACTATTCTGTTGTATGGATATACCAGATTTTGTTTATCCAGTCATTAGTTGATGGGCATTTAGGTTGTTTTTACTTTTTAGCTATTATGAGTAATGTTGCTATGAATATTCATGTATACACGTTTTCATGTGGACATGTTTTCATTTCTCTTTGGTATATATACCCGGGAGTAGAATTGTTTGGCCATGTGGTTAACCTTAACCTCTGTGTTTAACCTTTTGAAGAATTGCCAGATTGTTTTCCAAAAGTGGCTACACCATTTCACATTCTAACCAGCAGTGTGTTAAGGGTTCTAGGGGCACCTAGCTGGCTCAGTTAGTTAAGCATCTGACTCTTTTTTTTTTTTTTAAGGATTTTATTTATTTATTCATGAGAGACACAGAGAGAGGGGCAGAAACATAGGCAGAGGGAGAAGCAGACTCTGCGAGGAGCCTGATGCAGGACTTGATCCCAGGACTCTGGGACCATGACCTGAGTCAAAGGCAGACACTCAACTGCTGAGCCACCCAAGTGTCCCTGGTGGATTCTTTAGGAATTTTCCCTAGCGTTTTTTACTGCACAGTGTATACCTCTTAACACAGGAGTTGGTGCAAACAACACTAGCAGAACTTTTTTGAAACTACTTAATAATAATATTCCTGAAGATTTTTAATAAATATCTCTGCATATCTGGATCTCATAGCAGGATTTGGACACTGTTTGAACCACCCTCTCCTGAAGTTCCTCTCCCTCTTGGCTTTTGTGTCCTCATTCCCCTGGCTCTCCATCCACTACTTGGCCTCTTCTCTGCCCTTTAAATGATAGTTCATGATCTCCAGAATTTAGTTTGTTACCATTTCTGCTTCAGTGAGCAACTCTCTTCCTGAGCATTTTTTACTGCCTTGAACGAGGACTTTCATAATCAAAATTATAGCTTCAGTATTCTCTGCTGATACACATGCCTGTTCATACTCATTTTGCTAGCTGGTCATCTCTCATTCATCTCTCAAACTGCTATGCCTAAAATGGATGTAATCAATTTTTTGTTTCACTGCTGTTTCCTCTAATTTTTTAAGCAATAAACCTAGGAATCAGTCTTTCTCTGTCTCACTCTCTCATTTTATTCTCTGGGCTCTCTTATCTTGTCCTCCCCCACTGTCCCTGTCTTGGGATTTACTTTTATTGCTTCTCAGCCATATGCAGCTGAGCATCTATAGGCCTCCCACTTATCTCTCCTCCACCCCATCCATTCTCTACACAATCATCAGAATCACCTTTCTGCCACCACCTCCTTTTTTAAATTGTGGTAAAATATACATAATGTAAAATTTACCATTTTAACCTTATTTTTAAAGTTTTTTTTTAAATTTTTATTTATTTATGATAGTCACACAGAGAGAGAGAGAGAGGCAGAGACACAGGCAGAGGGAGAAGCAGGCTCCATGCACCGGGAGCCCGATGTGGGATTCGATCCCAGGTCTCCAGGATCGCGCCCTGGGCCAAAGGCAGGCGCCAAACTGCTGCGCCACCCAGGGATCCCATTTTAACCTTATTTTTAAAAATATTTTATTTTTAAGTAATTTCTTATTATTTTTATTATTTTTTAAGTAATTTCTATACCCAGTGAGGGGCTCAGACTTTACAACCCTGAGATCAAGAGTTGTATGCTCCACCAACTGAGCCAGCCAGGTGTCCCCCATTTTAACCATTTCAAGTATACAATTTACTGGCATTTTTTTTTTAAGATTTTATTTATTCATTCATGAGAAACACAGGGAAAGAGAGAAGCAGAGAAACAGCCAGAGGGAGGAGGATGTGTCATTCTCCTCCCTCTATGCAGGGAG